CACGCACGCACGCACGCACGCCGCACGCACGCACGCACGCACGCACGCATCTGATCGGAAAAATTGACTAGATCGGATAGTGAAAAGGGAACCCAGGTTCGGGCGTCCTCTCAATCCGGCCGCGAAGGACCAATTGAAAAGGAACCCAGCTTATTCAAACGTTCAACTAAGAAACAGAAGGGAGGAATCGAGGCTTCTCTCGATCCGGCCTCCTATAACGCCTACGTTGGGTTCGGGAACAACGTATGTGATCTCCGCAACGGAGTAACACACAAGGGCGATAACCTCTTCCTTTTCAGCAAGTAGGTTCAGACGGGGATTACGGGTCTTCCAAAGTCGTCCCGGTCCCAACGCCTTAATTCTTCGATGTGGACTGTATAACTTGAGTGATGAATTTCTTGGGAATAAAACAGCAATTATCTTCAAACCATTCCGTGAGAGAGTAATCACTTTTCCCTATCACTTCCCTACACTTTTTCTTTCTTCTTCTTATTGACTGCTGGTATGATTTCCGAACTTTTTCCCCGAACTATCTCGAAGGATTCCCGAACGAATTGCAATAAAACTCATATACTAAGCTACCCCAGAACTATACGCGAAAGTGAGCCGCGCCATTCGCGCGCTTGCGCAACTCAATTACATGAATTTGTTCTATTACTCTCTCACGTTTTACTTAATTACTTTATTTGCATAAGTCATACATCAACATAATTTACCTGTATAGATAGCACAAAACAATATCTACACTACGATATACATTACATTTTTATATCACGAAAAACCTTTTATTTATTAAATGAAATATGCCTATTTTACTCACAAGTTCGAAGTCGAAATTTCTTAAATATTTAACACAGAAAGTTAAAACAATGTTTTCCACTTGAAATTATACATATGTTAACTAATACAATAGTTTAATTTACATTTTCTCTATTTATTTCACTATTTAAAACACTTTTAAATTTCTTATACAAAACTATCATTATTTCACTTATACACAGGAATTTTCACATAAAAATAACACAGAATTCACCTTTTTAGCACGTACAATCAATCTGAAATGTTTCACAAGTCATTTTTACATAAATTGCTGAAATTACAAATATTTTAAATTTTTACATATTCGGCCTCCTAAGGGCGTGGCCAGCGTGCTTCCGTGAACTCACACTATTTGAACAACTAACTTTTGCACGGCTCTCGGCTATCAGAAAAAATGAAAGTCTGATATACACCAATTTTAACAATATTGGGTGAATAAATGCTTTTACACAATTTTCGAACTGTAGGAAACTATCTCTAATCAGATTCTTATCATTTATCATGTTTCTTATCAAACAACAATATAAGTGAATGTTCTCACAAATCAATCATGACAAATAGGCATTTGTTTTCGTACAAAACATATCAAACTTATATAAGACAATACTTATGCAATTAATTTCCGTTAATTCTATTTATGCACAGAGTGATCATCTCGACCGGGGAACAAATCCGATCTTTAACTTTATTTAATTATTGTTTTAAATTTACATCATTGGAAAGATGATTTCAACCGGGGAACCAATCCGGTAACATAATTTATATCTTAAAATTCCCTATATGAATTTATTGAAAGATATTACTTAGGAAAACAATAAACTAGTCCGGCCTGGGAGTCGAACCCAAGACCTTCATATCATTAATTCGACATTTCTTCAAGATTTAACTAAGCATTTTCTTATTAGAACATTGCTATTGGACAATATGCCTTTGAGACGTTATTCGTCATCGGTTGACTTAATAAACTGAAATATTCTTATAGGCGCGTCGCCAACAGATAGAATAGATAGAAAATGACTTTTATTGACCGAACTTTGCGATCGCAGCGCCTCACTTATGGGTCTATATTTCTGGGACACTATTTTCTACGGTGATTGTTCTCCCGTTCTCTAACCCACATGATGTAGGTACCAAATGAAAGGGTTTGTTGAGAAAAAATTCGAAAAATAAAATAATGTCACTGTAAATCCAATATGGCGGACGCCCAAATAGCCGACACATACACACACACACTCACACACACACACACACACACACACCCACACACACGCACACACTCACATACACACTCACACACATACACACACCCATACACACACACACACACACACACACACTCACACACACACACACACACACACACACACACACACACACACACACACACGCACACACACACAGACACACCTCGAAACAGTTGTTATTCCACGCTGGTATTCTGTGGGATCAAGTTATCTCTAGGACCTTTAAGTAAGCAATCTTGTTAGTTACAATTTATCTACAACAACATTGTGTTAGGTTTAAGGCTTTATTTTTCAATAAATTTATTTATCATTTATATAAAACCTTGTTAAAAATTACTATTAATTTTTATTTAATTATATTTATCAAGGTGTAAAATCCACTATTTTTATTCTTAATGTTACGCTAAGTTTGAGATAATGCTAATGCTTCTTTTGTATTGTTATTTAATAAGTTATATGTCTACATAAAACCTTATTAAAACCTCATTCACTTTAAATTTACACGAATTATAAATTAAGGCTCAATATAGTTGATGTTGTTAATTAATAAAACAAATAAATAAATTTATATTACTGTTTTTTAACTTCTAAATAAAGTTAGAAATATTTCAATATTTATTTTATTTATTTATTTATTTCTTTAAAAAACGTTACCCCTACACTAAGATTTTCTCTTGTATCGTGGGGGCAGTTTACAAACATAGATTGCACAAGGACAAACATCCAGACCCGGAACAACTATATGTAGGCCATACAAATACTTGTTCCGTGCGGGATTGAACGCGACCCCCAGCGCAGCCACTCATTGCTAAGCCACTGCGCCACGGAGTCGTCGAATATAAAATAACAAAAAAAAATTAACATTAATACTTAAACTAAAAGGCAAAGTAGAGTTCATACGTGACGTGGGATGCCCATGAATTTTCGTACGTGCTCAAGCACAAGTCTCACTTTTCCGAGTCTACAAATCGGGGATGCTCAAATAGCCGACAAATACACTCACACTCACACACACACACACACACACACACACACACACACACACACACACACACACACACACACACACACACACACACACACACACATACACGCACACACACTCACACACACACACAGACACACCTCGAAACAGCTGTTATTCCACGCCGGTATTCTGTGGGATCAAGTTATCTCTAGGACCTTTAAGTAAGCAATCTTGTTAGTTACAATTTATCTACAACAATATTGTGTTAGGTTTAAGGCTTTATTTTTCAATAAATTTATTTGTTATCATTTATATAAAACCTTGTTAAAAATTACTATTAATTTTTTATTTAATTATATTTATCAAGGTGTAAAATCCACTATTTTTATTCTTAATCTTACGCTAAGTTTGAGATAATGCTAATGCTTCTTTTGTATTGTTATTTAATAAGTTATATGTCTACATAAAACCTTATTAGAACCTCATTCACTTTGAATTTACACGAATTATAAATTAAGGCTCAATATAGTTGATGTTGTTAATTAATAAAACAAATAAATAATTTTATATTACTGCTTTTAAATTCTAAATAAAGTTAGAAATATTTCAATATAAAATAACAAAAAAGTTAACGTTAATACTCAAACTAAAAGGCAAAGTCGAGTTCATACGTGACGTGGGATGCCCATGAATTTTCGTACGTGCTCAAGCACAAGTCTCACTTTTCCGAGTCTACAAAATCCGTGAATTCAAAAGGGATTTTTCCTACAATTCAGCGTCTGGCCCGTCCGTTCTGTCGGCTTATCGCATCGCTATTATAAAACGTCTGTACGTGACCTAAAGCACGCTATATTCCAATACATTTCCCCTGATATATTTATTTATATTCAATCCTCGTCGTTAATATGCGTTGGTGGAAGCGGATAAGCATCTTTGGGTAAAGTATGGCTGACGTCAAGGCATCTGCATACAAATCATCGTAACAGAGGGCCGTATTCCGTTTATTTGAACCCGATATATAATTTCACTAACGCGCGTTGGAAACGCTCGGCATAAATAATACCAGAATACCAGCGTAAATTAGCTGCTTAATGTTGCTGTGTTTCGTATGTTGAGTGTAGAGAACTGAAGACCCTTTTTACTGGAAACGAGGGATTCCATCTTAGTCCACAGGGGTAACAACACATCTGCATTTTGATTCTTAATTGAGGATAGATCCACATACAATCAGGTAACGATATAACGACACGACTGTATCATCGATTGCCACCGTTATATTATACAAAAAAAAAAACAATCAGGTATCAAAACCAGATTTTTTATAAGTTCGTTTTTATTTTTTATAAGTTCGTTTAACACTTCATCAATCTATCGTTCATTTCCAGCCAGTAAAATCCGCTGCTGAACAAAGACCTCCCCCATTGATTGTTTAATTTTTTTCATAGTTGCCGTGTTTTTAATAGGTTTTTTTTTAAATTATTATTATTGAGTTCTTATCAGAAAGATGTTGCTCATTTTTTATTCTATTTCTTTATAGAAGAGGGAGCAAACGAGCTCGGCTCACGCTCAAACGGCTCGGCAAACCTGATGGTATGTGGTTATCACCGACCGACAACTGCGGCTTAAACAGGGTACCGATACTGTACGACTGATAATAAAGTAACTAATAAAAAAATGATGGGCCACCAATACCCAAAAAAGTCAGATTTTTTGTAAGACAATGAACGCATTTACACAGTATACAATACAATAAAACTGTTCTTTGTCCTAGGTTTAAATCATGACACGTAATTATGAATAGAATTGAGGTATGCGCCCGTTAGACATTGAATATTGACGCACTAAACAATCGGTATTACGATAGGGCCATTTAATTTGTTTTTCTTTATTCGCATCAGTATAACATCATCGGTAAACACCATCGGTCGTCTGGTGCATCATAAACGCGACAGTAAAATGTGGGGCTCAAAATGTGGTGGCGTTTTCTAGCGTTCTGTGTATTAGTTTCACTTGTGCTGTTCGTAGTTTTGAGTTCCATTTACGGTCGACCCGTCGTGCATCTTTTCTTCCACCGTTGCTGCGAGGAAGATATCGAGAATGATCAAGTTATTTTCGAGAACTTCGGCAACAACTTCCTTAGAGAACGACTAGTTGCGACTGATGTTATAGAAATGGAAAATGTAACGCTCTTCCCAATGGAGAATATAGAACAGGTGTTAGATGGTATGAGAAAATTGATAAATGTTCACGATCCCGAAACAAGAGAGAGTCTGGACGATATAGTGGACGTACTGATCACAGATAATTCCACCGAAGTGACACTGGAAACAACAACTCAAGTGATGAAAAAACAAATATGACTGTGATCGTAAAATATAGTTCGAATGAAGCAAGATTGTGATTACAGGTTTATGACTGAGTTGTTAAATTTATATGATTAAAGGGTTTTATCGTGTTTAAATTTAACTCTTGTTGGGTACGTTAAAATACCTGAAACGTCAAAAATTAATATAGTACGTGAGGGTAACATGGTTATCCTCACGTACTATAATAATTTTTGACGTTACGACGTTGGTCACCAGGTTAATATGGTCAATTTCTTATTTATTTATTTATTTTATTCTTTATTACATCCTTAAACAAAAGAACACAAAGGGCGGACTTAATGCCTTGAGGCATTCTCTACCAGTCAACCCATGGAGTGGTGCGAATTTAACGAAGGTGTATATAAATATAGAATAAAAGAACACAAAACGAATGATAATTAACTACAAAATATATACATACTACCAATAAATAAAGTATACATATATGATCTATCCTTACATATATATAAATACATGCATATACATACAGATATAAATATTTAAATACACATATAATTAGTACATACAAGTGACCATGAATATATATTTCTGTTTAGCAATACATATTAAATGGATGAGACATGTAAAACGCATTGTCTTTAATAGATGTTCACGGACCAACTTTTTAAACTAACTAAGCGTACTTATTGGGAGCTTTTCTGTTGTCATCGGGCAAGGAAATGACGAATTTCTTATAACTCTAAACCTACAGTCTTGTTTACATACGAGTAGAGGTCAAAAGGGCGCTGCTTTATCGACGCCATTTTGACTTTTAAAATTAAACGTGAATATTTTAGTCCATTTTAGTATGGTGTAGTGTAGTTAGTTTTATTTAAGTTGATTTTTCGAAGTGTTTATATATATATATTGCCAAGGCTTGTTTGCTATTTTTTCTTAATATATTAGTTATAGTATACGACTTTGTGTTTTTTCTCTGTCCTTCTTCTAGTTTTGATTTTATAGGCCGACAAAGCTTAAGGTGACCATATTACCCCCATGTACCTTATTAAATTAAAAATTAAAAAAAAAACACCAGAAACAAAAGCTTCTGATAATCTTCAAATGGCGGAACAGATTTTCTTGAAACATAGCTAAGAACACTCTCGATTACGATTTCAAACGAAAACAACTTAAAATCGATTCATCGATTCAGGAGCTATGATGCCACAAACTCTAAACTTATAACACCAACTTTGACTGTCACGTTGGTCTAGTGGTTGTTGTAATGCGACTGCTTATCTTGAGGTTCTGGGTTCAAATCTCGGGTCGGACCAAAAATCAATTATTGAGTTTTTTCGTCAAGAAATTCTCAGCAGCTGCCCGGAGTCAGGAAGTTGGCGGTGTCTCACCCCCGTGCCTCGGCAAGCTCGTAAAGTCGTTGGTCCTACGCCTGATATCTCTCCGCCTGTGTCGGTTTATCGTCCCTTCGGATAATGAGAGTGAGGGAATAGGAGTGCACCTGTGCTTGCGGCATGCATACACTTGGGCACTATAATCCTGTCCTGCGCCGATGGCTAGTCTCCGTTGAGGCATTGTACGTTGTAACACCAATATGTTTTCGTCAGGGGTTAAAAAGATATGAAATAAATAAAGTAAGTAAAAATTAAACGCAAGAAATTCTTAAATTGGTTATTACAATAAATGTATAATATTCTCGTAAGTATAAAAAATCATTACGAAATAGTTTGTATCAAATAACTGCCAAAGGTAAAATGTAATTTATAAAATTAAACGTATAATAAGTACTCTATCTCAAAGTGTTTTATTTAACTGTCTGAAATAATTATACCTATTTAGAATTAAACAGTGCCTGGCGGTACTTTTAATTAAATGCGATAAAATCTGTAAGTTGGTTTTATTTAACGTGTAATATTTACGTAGGTATATGGAGTCATTATGATCTTGTTGTTGTGAATAACTGCCAAAGGTTAAATGTAAATTATAAAATTATAATAATACTCTATATTAAGGTGTTTGATTTATTTGTCACTAATTATTTTATCCATTAAGATTTAAATATTGCTAAAGTCACATTTTTTTACAGTATGAGAGCGACAAACGAGCACACAGTCCATCGGATGGTAAGTGAATGCTGTAAATCATATACGTTTACATTTATCCTCAGTTATTAATCAAAATACGGATGCGTTGTCACGTCTTAGACCTAGAACGTAATGCCTCACTTCCAGTAAAAAGGGTGTCCGGTTCTTTATACTCACCATTCAAAATACACCAAAATTAATTGTTTATTTGCGCTGGTATTAGTGTCTAGCCGACCCATTCGTGCTACAACCATAATATAACTGCAACGTGGCTCTACCACAGAAATATAAAATGTGTGATGCATTAATTGATTAGATTGAGATAATTGCTGTGTAGTTGCTACGTTAGTATAACCATTACCCCGTGTCCTCCCGTGGGTGTCGTAAGAGGAGACAGAGGGAAAGTGGAACAGCTGATGAGTAGCTTCTTTTTTATAAGAAATAAAAATATTTCGGAAATGATGATGACGATTATGATGAATAAATTAGTTTAGGTAATATAAACATTTTATACGTGGTAGAGCCACGCTGCAGAGCTATATTATGGTTGTAGCACGAATGGGTCGGCTCGACCGGGGAAGGACCACGCTCTCACAGAATACCAGCGTAAAATAGCAGGTTAATACTGTTGTGTTTCGTATTGTGAGTGTAGAGATCCGGAGACCCTTTTTTACTGGAAACGAGGCATTCCATTTTAGTCCTCAGGAGTGACAACGCATCTGTGTTTTTGTCTATGGGCCACTGTATCCGCTTACCATCAGGTGATTGTGTTCTCGTTTCTCACATTTATTCCATTAAAAAACTCAATTTGAAAAACTTATTGAAAGATGGGGTAGCCTCATACCGGTAAGTGAATCATAGGGTGGACGACCACGAGAAGATAAAAAATAGTACTTAAATGGAGAGTCAACCTGGTATGACATTTGAGACAGTAGTGGACTTTGTGGTAGTACTAAGTAGTAGTGGTAGCACTAAGTTATCTCTAAGTAAGTTTATCTATCAGCCCGCCTAGCATTCCTACGTTCCAAAGTTAAGCTTTTTCTTTATTTTAACTTAGTTTTTCCGTTTTTTTTAAATTATTAGGTATAAGCCAGGGCATAATTATAAAGTGGATTATATATGGAATATAATATGGTCATGTGGAAAGAAGAGGAAAGAGTGACAAAGTATATATATATATATATATATATACACAAAACTAAATGACAATTAAACAAAATGTGACAAAGCAAATTTATGTTGCAAAAGTGAATGGCAGAGTCGGAAAAGGACGTCCTAGGCGAAAGTTTATCGACCAAATTGGCGATATATTAAATTAAGAGGCTAAATTAGGAGTACCCTTAACCGACGAGAATGTATGCGTGTGGATATGGATGTGGAGGAGGCGAGAGGTGTGTTAGGATCGTGCCAAATGGAAGTTTGTAGTCTCTGCCTACCCCTCTGGGTGACAGGCGTGAGTGTTTATGTGTATATGTATGTATTAATTATAATCTCAACTGGTAAGAAGCTGTGATGAAGCCCTGGATATTAAATACTATAATATCGTTAGAACAATGTTTCTTTTTTATACAATAAGGGTAACAAACGAGCACACAGTCCACCCGGTAAGTGGATGCTGTGACCCATAGACATCCACATTTATAGATTGATAGGGCTGGTATTTTTAATGTAAAATTTTCTTATGATCTTAAAACAAGCGACAGTAGCCTAATGGCAGGGCGCGGACTGCGAACTCAAAAAGGTCGTGGGTTCGAATCCACCATTCGACTACTGGCGTGAACCACTCGTAACACAAGCAATTTAAGCTTACAACTAGTAGTTAAGGGGAATATTGGTAATGTTTATAGCATTGTTAATATTCTTTTTTTTTTTAAAAAAACTTTTGAATGGGAATAGTGAAGGAATTCAAAACGATCCTTAAGATAAGAAGGATTGGAAAGAGAACATTGTAAAGAAGTGACAGGATAGTTCGACACTTTTATATTTTTTATACGTGGTAGAGCCATGCTGCAGTTATATTAGATGTATAGAGCACGAATGGGTCGGCTCGACTGGGGAAGGACCACGCTCTCACAGAATACCAGCGTGAAATAGTAGCTTAATGCTGCTGTATTTCGTATGGTGAGTGTAGTGAACCGGCGACCCATTTTACTGGAAACGAGGCATTCCATCTTAGTCCTCACGGGTGACAACACATCTGCATTTTGATTCGTAATCGAGGATAGATGTAGATGTCTATGGGCCACAGCAACCACTTACCATCAGGTGGACTGTGTGCTCGATTGTCACCCTATCCTATAAAAAAAAACTTATCCTCGATCTAGAATCAAAATGCGGATGCGATGTCGCACCTAAGAGATGGAATGCCTCGTTTCCAGTTTAAAGGATCTCCGGTTTTCTACACTCACCATCAGAAACACAGCAGTATTAAGCTGCTATTTTACGTTGGTATTCTGTAAGAGTGTGGTTCTACAACGGTTAAGCTGACCCATTATACAACCATAATGTAGCTGCATCGTGTCTCTACCACGTATAAATGCTCATCTTACTTAAAGCTCCCGGGAAGGATGAACTATCTACAAACATAGTTAAGTTAATACGGAACTCTCAAGACACTAGTCCTACTCACACTTGATCTGTTTTTTTTTATAATTTATTATAATATGATAAATGGCATCCCTTATATAATGACGCTATTTTGATTAAATACGGTAAAAAAATAAAAATATTCTCTTTTTGTAACTTGTTTAACATAGCCCAAAAACTAGGAAACTGAAATGCCAATGAATTGTTAGTGAACTAGTTCTTCATTAACAATTTATTGCCAAACATAAAGTGACTCCACTCGCGTAGGCTTCAATTTAAAAACATAAACAAACACACAGTCAACCTGATGGTAAATGGATGCTGTGGCCCGTAGACATCGACATTTATCTGAGGACTAAAATGGAA